CCTGGAAAGCACTAATCATTAAACAATACGCAACACTCAAAACTGGTCATATCATATGCAAACACAGTGAAGAGAAAGGTTTTCGTCTGTTAGAACAGCCCTATTTTGGAGACATCTGCATCCACATGACAATTCCTAGCAGTTGGAGAACCCTAACGCAACGCAGGCATAAGCTCTCTTGAAAGTTTCCTTTTTCCTTACACAAAGGGAGAATTAAAGTCAGCAAAAGGCACCATTAACAAAATAATATCAGAATATACTAAAAAGCTAACTTGATGTCAGAAAACAACCCAAACAAAAATTAAGTGATGTATTCCCGCCCCGAAAAGATATATTCCTTTTCCTATATTTGTGGGGAAAAAACAACCCTTTTTAAATACACATAAAATAATTAACTGAAAATGCTTCCTGTATGTCGGACGCAGAGAATGACTATTCAGTTCTATTGCAGTGTGAGAAACAGCAGGATTTAATCAGGTACATCCAACTGTAGATGTAAAAAAATGAAAAATGTTCTTATTAGTTCGAAATTACTTTTAAGCATGTTTCCTCACACTTTTTCCCCTTTTATTCTTTTTTTAAATCAGGCAACAGGAAGAATATCAACATGTACTCCTCTGACTTTTGTTTGTGAGTCGGTGCATGTGGCTTGGTTGTGTTTTACCTGTGTGAGACCTCATATGAGTTCGAAGGTGGCTGGGCTGACTGAAACTCTTCCCACACTCGTGGCAGAAATACTGCCCCTGACGCATGAGAGACCTCAGCATTCCTGATCACACACACAGACACACACACACACACACACAAAGGAAGGAGAAACAGAAAATTACACATAAAGAAGAAGAAAGAAAACTACAATAAACATAAGTGAAATATCAACCCAACACAGAGGATGGGATTAATCTTAATGTGAATTATTCCGTACAAGTCAACAGGTCTCCATTTAAAAAGGAGGCCCATCATGAGATTTAGCTTCCCCCCAATCCTGCAGGACCGTTTTAGACGCATCTCAAAACCTTTGTTTAAAAACAAATATGTGATTGGACTGAATTTTCAGGTTTTTCAGTTTTCAGACCAAAAATCTTTTTCAAAATGGTACACGTTCAAATAAAAGACAGATCCAAGTTCAAATCATTCGAAATCTCACATCCTGACTGATCCGCATTGAATTATTTCAAATGAGAAGAAGGAATTTTCTCACGGCTGTGTGCGCAGAGATGGAATGCAGACGTAAAGGTCAGTAATGGGCTGAAAGCATGTGAGTGTGTGTGTGTGTGTGTGTGTGTGTATGCAGGCACTGGGCTTGACTTTAGCGTTGCGGCTAGGTGGCATCGGCAGTGGACTTGCACAGGCATCATTAGTATGTCTAATGTGTCATTATGAGCGGCTCGCTCCGGGGGCTGGACTGCAGCTGTCACACAGCATCATCTCAGAGGCTGACAGCGAGACACACACACACAGCACACACACGCTGCATAAATTACAGGCAATTAAAACGCCCCGGCTGTGATGTGCCCGCTCCGCTGGCCGTGTGTCACATGTCAGGTGTGTGCGCCGGCATGCCTCTCCAGACCCGAAAAATGTGTGTGCTCGGTCCAAGGGAGGAGAGGGCTCACTGCATTTCTACACACACACACATTCACAAACAAGCCAAACCGTTCCATCACCTCTGCAAGACATCTGAGCTCCATCTGATTCTCTTTGCGTTAAACATGCGCAACTTTTACAAGACCTCGGTCTGTCCTGACAGGTGACTGCAGGCCGGGCCGCCGAGCGAGAAGTGTCCCCAGTCTATCCGTCATTTGGTTTAAGCAGATAGCTACCAGGAGCGGGCGTTCATAGTGAAGCAGCCTGTTGCCGGGCGACCGACAGCGCCCTGATGCCTTATGGAAGACTGGAAACTTTGATAACCGACCAAGCCGCATCGTCTCTAATGTTACACCGTAATCTTTTCTCTGTCTTTTCTTTTTACTTTTCCTGGCACGATTCCGCACAGGATGAGGCATTTAAAGCTGGCTGGATCCATTTAAAGACATTCTGACTGTTAAAGTCACACACACACATACACACACACACACACACACACACACATGCTTCTCTGACCTCTCTTGTTGACAGGAAACAGGCCTGAGGGTTTGGGGGAAGTTTTCAGCGAGCTTGCTGCCCCCAAAAGCCCCCAGCAGACACATGAACGTCCCATGCATGAGGGCTGGCGTATACCTGGGCAGTGCCTACCGGTGTGTGTGTGGGGGGTGTGTGTGTGTGTGTGTGTGTGTTAGTGTGGACGCAGCAGGAACAAGGAGGACAGGGAGGTGGAGGAGGTGACAGAGAGTGTCTCTGGCAGGCCGGCTGCTGGCCTCTGGATACTCCACTTCCACTCTGGGGCCGCCAGCCCTTCTCACTGACGCACTAATGAAAGACAAGACAGAGCTGGACGCAAAAAAAACACGAGCAGCGGCCAACGCACGCACTGCCGCGCGCATTAACGGCGAGGAACTGGGAGAAAAGACTCGGTTGGCTCAAAAAAAGGTCACTTTATAGCATGTGACTCAAAGGGCTAAGGCGGATGGTGACGATATGCGCCTGGACGGGTGACAGCGATGTCACGCGTGTGCTCTGGGGCTGTTGTCTTTGACCCCTGGCTCCGCACAGCCCCACTTGACCTCAGACACACGACTGGAAATGGGCAAATAATACGGATGCTCTGTAATGACCATTTCCAAAGCAGCTGGAGGGGTAATTATTCTGTCTCTTCTCTCTCCTCGCCTCTTCCGTTTCACCTCTCTGTCCGCGTCCCCCCCCCCCCCC